ACCACTGTATCCGCTCGAGAGCTTGAACGCTCAATCGGTGCGCGTACGCAAAGTAGCCGGTGAGGGCTCGGATCAATGACGGGGCATGGGCGGCTCGGTGGATGGGCGGCTCGCAAGCTGACGATCAAGGATGAGGAGTACCTGCATCTCCTGTTAGTTGCGATACCTAGGCTTGTTTAACTTAGCTTGTTTTGTAGCAAGCGTTGTTGCCATCAAAATTAATAGGGTCAAGCCTCCTCCAGCTGCGCTGCGCGGACTGCTCATCCCAAGGGGATATGTGAAGGTTTACAATGTGAGAGGTATCGAGCAGGAAACACAGGTCACAGAGAGGGAATGCAGGATAGGGGGGGTAACGAGAGTAAACCTTAGGGTCGGAGGCAGAGGTACGGAGGCCGAGGAGCCTATATACCCTGTGCTAAGCCCTTAGGGTACTTAGGGGTTAGATAGCTGTAACATAACTGTGACACTTTTCTTTAAGGTAACTTTTAAAGTTTTAGATGTACAAAGTAATAGCTTTACATAATAGGGTCTTATTATAGAAATTTTTATATAAGGTAATGTACTAGTTTTTTGCTTATGTATAGTTATTATAAAAGTAGTTTAATAACTAACATTCTTTTTTATAGCAGACAAAGCACTTCTTTATCTATGTGCAGTTGTCTCTAGATTATAGCCTAAACCTAGATAAAGATCTTCTACATTATTCTTTTTTATGCAAAGAAAGGCTTCCTTTTTATTATGTAGACTCTTGTTGTGCGGAGTTGTATTAGCAGTTTATATAGTATGCATTAGGCAGTTTCTAGAGGTATTAGTTTACCTTTTAGTCTATAGTAACTTAAAGTAATGCTTATAAGTTACTAAATAAGGCTTTACATAAGAGCTTAATAGTAAACATAGCATGTTCTAGTTTTAGTTATCCTTAATAAGCTTATATAATAGCAGTGTGCAGTAGAACATCCTCTTAGAATTTTATTCTTAGTGCTTTTTATGTAAGTGTAAGCTTGTTAATTATTATTTTAAAAACTTTATATAAACTCTTATTAAAGTTTTTTTATTAGCATTATATAAAAGTTATTATTATCTAGTTTATCTAGTACTAGCTATAGTTTACATTAGTGTTAAAGTAACTACTTAAGGTGTTATATAAATGCTTCTAGTTATATCTAGGGCCTATGTTATACATATAGTACATATTTACCTAACTTTTTAGAATGTCTAGAAAGATGTCTACATACTAAGTTTTCTAAATATCTAGCTATTAACATAAATTAATAAAAATTTTTATTTTATTTATAAAAATGTTATATAGTTAACTTATATAGTTATTATTTTTTTTTATGCTTTTTAAAATTATATAATCTTATTTACTAAAAGTTTTTCTTTAGCAGTTTCTCTTTAGAGTAGAAGTTTATACAGGTTGTAATATAGTATAGATTGTGCAGGTAGTATTAGTGGTGCATACACTACTGCAGGCGGTAGTGTGTATGATTAAGGGTGTAGAGCAGGCGTTAGGTAGAGTAGCATGTATTATTTGTACAGTAATTAGTGTAGTGCTAGCTAAGGTGTAGAAGCAAGTAATACTAGTACATTTAGTGTTAATAGCAGCATTATGTTTAGTCTGCTTCTATGTAGAGCCTTATATAGTAATAAAGGTTATATATAAAGCTTTTCTAGTGTAATTACTTTTTTTTATGCTATATTATACAGCTTCTAGGCTTAGGTACCTTTAGTGCTTAGCTGTAGTGTAATTCCTTTGTCCTCTAGCACTTATATAAGCTCCCTTTTAAACATGTAGCTAAGTGCTAAGAAGTTTTATAGTGTCTATCCTTTAAAATCCTTTATGTACGCACTTAAAAGAGTAGCGCTTTTCTAAGTTATTATATATAGATTAGTAATTATGTAACTTATATATAATTAAGTCTATAAGCTTATTAAAGCCTTTAATATGTTAATCTTATTATTCTAGTACTCTAGGCTAGTCTTATTTTATAGTGTTACCTCTAATATCTCTATGTCCTTTATAAGTTATTTATATAATAGAAATTATTTCTTATTCTTTTTATTATTACATAGAGTTGTTAGTTACTAATAAGATTTTATTATAATAGTATAGTTAATTACTTTTTTAGTAGATTATATAAGTACTGCTATTATCTAGCTGCTAGGTTATGCAGCTTTAATAGCTTTAGTATGCGCCTTATACTATCTCCTCTTTACTTTGTACAGTAGCAGAGCTTGCTGTACAATGCAAAGGATTAATGTGCTATTGTCTAGCTGCTAGGTTATGCAGCTTTAGTGGCTTTAGTGTGCGCCTTACACTATCTCCTCTTTACTTTGTACAGTAGCAGAGCTTGCTGTATAATGTAAAGGATTAATGTGCTATTATCTAGCTACTAGGTTATACAGCTTTAGTAGCTTTAGTGTGCGTCTTACACTATTTTCTCTTTGCTTTATATAGTAGCAGAGCTTACTATATAATGTAAAGAATTAATCTGCTATTCTAAAAAATAAGTAACTAAATAAAGTACTTTATAAAGCGTAAGTGCTTTATTGTTACTTTTCCTAAAGAATAAGTAATAAAACAAAGTACTTTATAAAGCATAGGTACTTTATTATTACTTTTGCTAATTTATAGTTAATTAAATTAACTACTAATTAGTGTTAAATAGGCTCTAATAGCTAGCTGCTTATAGTATAAGCACTTAAGTAGTAAAAGTAAGAGTAGTGTACAGTGTGCACAGCGTACAAGGTAGGTAAGGTAAGGGCAACATGTTTCTAGTTCTATTGCTCTTACTTTTCCTCTGTACAGAGGAAAAGGGGGATATCTAGATGTTTGCGCACAGAGGTTCGCGCACAAGCATCATGTGACAGAGATACGTGGTCCTGCTCGTGCGCGATCGCTCGTATCCAGACTGTGACGCTGCTGCTGCGTACGGACAAGTGCCAGATATAACGACAAATTGACCTCCAGCGACTATTATTCCGCCTTCGTCGTGGGAATTTGGGTCTGCGGTGACAATCGTCCCTGGGTGCGATAGGCCCGTATCGATTACACTACATTTAATTGTTGTGACCGGTTGAAGCCTCCTTAGGAGAGTCAAGTTGCTGAAGTCCATCGCATAGTATTTCGAAGCTAGCATTGGGGTCTGGCACGCTAGGGGTAGTTCTAGTATAGGTTCTGGTGTAGGTCGTGATCATGTGGCTATTGTTACGCTTGAACTAGACCACGCTTTGTCATAAAAATATATGACTAGGATGTAGGCTGGCGTTGAGCGGCATTGCTCGGATTTTGCCTTCGTCAGTAAGTTCGTCAACTGCAGCGTTAGTCTCAGAACTCAGAGGTACCATTAGGTATATCAGTCGCCATGGCATCCAGTGTCGAAGTACTGAAAGCAGTGACGTTTGCAAGTGGCGAGGAACCGGTGAAGCTGGCCCCAATGGCATTTAAATTTATCAAGCTGAAGAAGTCTAGAATATATTATTAGGAGTGCTCAGTGAACGCGAGTACGCAAATGCAGCTTACTCGAACATCCGTTGGTACCTTGGAGGGCGAGAGATCGAACGAGCGAGTTAATTTTGAAGTGACCTGTAGGGCTTGCCACCCTCCTAGAAACCCCCCAGCTCCTGGACCTTTATGGTCACGTCGTGGTCTTAAGTCGTGATGGGGGGAATTATCCAGTATCTCATGGAACCTACGTTGTGGAACGATCCGGTAGCTACAGCAGGCACATCGTTACATGATAGGATCCAGATCGAAAGTTTGGGTGTAGTCAAGAAGGAACATGTATGCAGATCTTGCAGCCCTATGCGAGGTATGGGAATCCTTCGAAGGATCGGTAAAGGGCCTGGTGATCCATGTGATCGATCAAGAACTCACCCACGGGTCTGAAACCGTTCCATAAGTTTCCGGAACTTAAATGCAACAACCCCAGGTAGTATTGAGGGCTGCGCAGCGGCCGAACGGACTGTTCCACTTGTTTGTGGCAATAGAAATTGACCTTGGTAAATATTGAAGTGCTAAGACGATATTGCCCTGTATGACGCGGAACAGAAAAAATATCAAGGGCCTCAAACAGAGATTCAAATTGGTACATAGAAAGAAAGGCGTTCGCTTGTAGAGGAACACCCCAAGACCGTGGTAAAATACAACTGATAGGGGTCTATAAAGTCTAAACCGCGCTAAATCGACGTCAAACTATTATCGAAAGCATTGCCGTCTTTCACAACTTGCTGTCACCGCGCTGCCTCAATCGTACGACGCCCTTTACGTAGTCAGCTCAAATCCTCAGAATCTTGTCCCAGACAGGATGCACTGACCTCTTGGACGCAAGTTGCAATGAGTTTGCCATCGCGAGAGAATATCTTCTGAAAGACCAGTCCACGACCATCGCCTGTCCACGGGGTCTCCATTTCTGTGAACATCCAGTCGTCTGCTCTGAAATTCCTTGGGTTGTGGAAATAAATAGTGTGATCTAAACTGACCATCATTCCAATTTCTGGCTTGTCGTCGGAAGGGTTCTCGCCATTCTTGTACTTGCGCAGTCGTTCAATGTCGGCCTGATCCATAAACTTTACGCGTCTGAGGGACTCGTCATCCATGGCGAGCAGCTTCTTCAGAACGTCCTCGTCAATACTTGATTTGGTGTTGCTCTTCCGCACAGCGGAGTATCGCCAGAGCTTGTGTACACGGGCGATGGTGCCGATGAAGTAACTATCCGACATATATGCCAGGGCAGAAAGGTGGGCCTCATGGCCTCCGGCGGGAGAGATCTGGCCACGAGCCTTTATCCATTGCCTCGTCTTCTTAGTATGAGGATGCGGCGAGTCATCTAGGCTTCGGTTAAGAGTATTTACCAGGAAGTTCTTATCTCAGACGTACTGTTTAGGATCTCGATGCGCTGGCTTTGAAAGGGTCCTGAAGGCGACCCGCCATAGTCAAGATCGTCCATGCCCTCAACAGGACCTGGGATGCCAGGCATTTCGGTAGAATGCTCAACTCGCTGCTCGCCTCCACTGTTCTCCCGGACGAAGCTCATGGTCGTAGTAAAGATGACCTTGCCTCTCTGCCGCGCCTGCACCGTCCTCGTCGCGAACGACTTTCCCGAGCGCACGCGTTCTACATGGTATATGATTGGTATTTCCGAGTTACCGGCAAGGACAAAATAGCAGTGCATTGAGTGAATTGTGAAGTCTTTAGGGATTGTCCTCTGAGCCGCGGCCAGACACTGCGCGATGGCAGCTCCTCCATAAATTCCACGCGCGCCAGGGGGGTGCCATAGGGGGCGGGTGTTGGTGAACAGGTCAGGGTCTATATCAGAGAGTTGGGTAAGCTCGAGCACGTTCTCTATGGCCGATTGAGAAGGGTCTTTGGGGGGGGGACGGATGAGAGTGGACATTGTGGTGAGCGGGGATTCGAATGGCAGGCGCGAGGGAGTTGCAAGTGCAGGAGCTGCTGAGGGTCAGTCGGGTACGCGCTGCGACAAATTATACAGCCATCGAGGGATGGAATCAGCCTCCATGTCGGCCGCAACAGTCCTCCCGAGCAATGCTTGCACTGTCCCCGAGGCCGGTTCAGCCGAGGTATTGCGACGTCACGTGTCTGTCAGCGACCTCTTGGCAAACCCTGCCAGAGAGGGACAAGATTTGCCGAACGAGGGCCGCCAAGTGCTCCCGCGAGCACTAACGTCATATCAAGGTCCTGCGGCGTTCCTGGACCACTTGACTGAACCGCAGGGCAATCCAGCCAGCTGTCAATGAGCGCGCGCCTTACATTCACCGCTGTAGCCCTTTTTCTCCACTCCTCCCCCTCGCGCGCCCCCTTCATCGTCCCTAGAACCGTGGCGCTGGACGCACCTTGACATGTCGCCGCCCGCTCCCATCGCATTCACCCCCCACCTGTAGCTTCCAACACTGTCGCATCCACACCAGCCATGGCTGAGTCCAATCCGGAGCTCCAAGCAAGGCTGCAGGAGCTGGAGCATGAGCTGGAGGAAGGCGACATCACACAGAAAGGGTCAGCATTCTCTTCAAGCATTGCTTTTGCCCCGTAGCAATATCCAGTTGCTCTGACACTACTCCAGATATGAGAAACGGAGGACTCTTCTTTTGTCGCAGTTTCTAGGTCCAGCGCAGACCGAGCAGCTGCGAAACGAGCTTCGACTCCATAGCCCAGACAGCTCCGGCTCCGGCTCCCGTTCCGCTACTTTGGCAACACTGTCGGGTCCTCCCCGGCAGTCCTACGATTCGTCGCGCCCCGAATCTCCCTATCGCTCACCGAGCCAGCACAATGGGAGGGCTCCAGAATACATGGCGTATCCACCAAGCCAGGTTGGGCGTTTCCAGGAGAAGCAGCTGGGAATCAGGACCACCTCGCTGCAGAAACAGCCGACGTATGGGCGCGAACAGCTCCTTCCCCGACCGCAGACTCCCGAACAACCCTACTCTCGCGACGGAACTATGGTCAATTCAGACTTTGTCTTCAACCCGGATGCGCAACAGGGCTATGATGGGGGATATGCTGAACCCGGGGACGCGAGCAGGCTTAGCACAATGCTGGATTCGCAACAGGGATACTTTTCCGACTTCACCGGCCAGCAGATGCAGGATCATCGCGACTCATACGGCGGCCCAAATAGGTATTCCTCCGGCGATGCGTTCTCACCGACGGCTGCCATCCCTCCGCCAATGCTCGCACCAAGCGACTTGCCATCAGGTGGAGTCGTTGAGTGCCAGCTTCCCCTAGAGCCACGTGACCTTCCATTCAACGTCTACGATCCTCACAACTCCAATGTGTTAATGTCAAAATTTGACAATATCGGGGCTGTTTTACGCCATCGAGGACGCGCCAATCCTCGCCAAACCGCATTTTGGGTACTTGACTCCAAGGGTAAAGAGACCGCCTCCATTCCATGGGAAAAAGTCTCAAGCCGAGCAGAAAAGGTAGCCAAGGTTATTCGAGATAAAAGCAATCTGTACCGTGGTGATCGGGTGGCTTTGGTGTACCGCGATACCGAAGTTATCGAGTTTGTCGTTGCGTTGCTCGGATGTTTTATTGCTGGCGTTGTGGCCGTTCCAATAAACAGTGTGGACGACTATCAAAAGCTCATCCTTCTTCTAACCACCACCCAAGCCCATCTCGCTCTCACGACCGACAATAATCTTAAGGCCTTCCACCGCGACATCAGCCAGAACCGCTTAAAGTGGCCTAGTGGAGTTGAGTGGTGGAAGACGAATGAGTTTGGAAGTTATCATCCTAAAAAGCACGACGACACACCACCGTTGCAGGTTCCGGAAGTGGCGTATATTGAGTTTTCCCGTGCCCCAACTGGCGATTTAAGGGGGGTTGTGCTCAGTCATCGAACAATCATGCACCAGATGGCATGCATTAGCGCCATGATTTCCACAATCCCTATTGGGGGCCCCAATTCCGATACCTTTAATTCCAGCCTAAGGGACCGGAACGGAAACCTTATAGCAAGACCTCCCAAGACTTCTCCAGCCGAGACCATTCTAAGCTATCTTGATCCTCGTGAAAACGCTGGGATGATCCTTGGTGTTTTGTTCGCTGTATATGGCGGACACACGTCGATCTGGTTGGAAGCAAAGAGTGTTGAGACTCCTGGGCTGTACGCTCATCTTATTACCAAGTACAGGACAACGATAATGGTTGCCGACTACCCTGGTCTGAAACGCGCCGCCTATAACTACCAGCAAGATCCCATGGCTACTCGGAGTTTCCAAAAAAAAGTGGAACCAAATTTTGGGACCGTGAAGATCTGTCTCATTGACACATTGACTGTTGACTGCGAATTCCACGAGATTCTCGGAGATCGATGGTTGCGGCCGATGAGAAACAATAGGGCTCGAGAATTAATTGCACCAATACTGTGCTTGCCCGAGCATGGTGGTATGATCATCTCGGTGAGAGACTGGCTGGGTGGTGAAGAACGTATGGGCTGTCCATTAAGCATGGAAGAGGAGGAGTCTGATGAAGAGGAGAAGAAAGCTGAAGACCCAAGCGTAATCAACGGCTATACAAGTCTTATTGGCGGCGGTACTGTCCAAAAAACAAATCAAAAGAAAAGCCGGACCGAGCTAACGGAAGTGCTTTTGGACAAGGAAGCCTTGAAGATGAACGAAGTTGTCGTCATTGCTATGGGTGAGGAAGCACGGAAACGCGCCAATGAGCCCGGGGTTATGATAGTGGGGGCTTTTGGTTATCCTATTCCGGATGCGACACTCGCGATAGTCGACCCTGAGACGAATCTGCTGTGCTCACCGTATATGATTGGTGAGATATGGGTCGATTCACCTTCGCTCTCTGGGGGCTTTTGGCAACTCCAAAAACACACGGAAACGATCTTCCACGCTCGACCATATAGATTCGTTGAGGGCAGTCCTACCCCGCAGCTGTTAGAGTTGGAATTTCTTCGAACTGGGCTGTTGGGTTTTATTGTCGAGGGCAAAATTTTTGTCCTGGGCCTTTACGAAGACCGAATCCGGCAGCGAGTAGAATGGGTTGAACACGGTGTGCTCGAGGCTGAGCACCGATACTTTTTTGTGCAGCATCTTGTGGTGAGCATCATGAAGGCGGTGCCGAAGATTTATGACTGGTAAGTCTTTGTCGTGGGTGATAAATATTTAAGCTTATCGCATTCAGCTCGGCCTTCGACGCGCATGTAAATGGAGAATATCTGCCCTTTATTTTGATTGAAACGCAGGCCGCATCGACTGCACCCACGAATCCCGGTGGACCGCCTCGGCAATTGGATATAGCATTCCTCGATTCCCTATCAGAGCGCTGCATGGAAGTTCTGTACCAAGAACACCACTTGCGGGTATATTGTGTAATGATTACAGCACCCAAAACGCTCCCACGAGTTGTGAAGAATGGCAGACGTGAAATCGGAAACATGTTATGCCGAAAGGAATTCGATATGGGCTCCCTACCATGCGTTCACGTCAAGTTCGGCGTCGAGCGTGCCGTTCAGAACCTTGCTCTCGGTGACGATCCTGCGGGAGGGATATGGTCTCCCATGGCATCTATGGCACGTCAAAATTATCTGCTCATGCAAGATAAGCAGTACTCTGGCGTAGACCATCGTGAGGTGGTGATTGACGACCGGACTTCGACTCCACTTAATCAATTCTCTAACATTCACGATCTTATGCAATGGCGGGTCTCACGACAGGCTGAAGAACTCTCCTACTGCACCATTGATGGCAGAGGCAAGGAAGGGAAAGGAGTCAACTGGAAGAAATTCGATCTCAAAGTGGCAGCCGTTGCCATGTACTTGAAGAACAAGGTCAAAGTCCAACCCGGTGACCACCTTCTCCTCATGTACACCCACTCAGAAGAATTCGTTTTCGCTGTTCATGCATGCTTCTGTCTTGGCGCAGTTGCGATCCCAATGGCTCCAATTGATCAAAATCGGTTGAATGAGGATGCCCCTGCTCTGCTTCACATCCTTGCAGACTTCCGAATCAAAGCCATTCTGGTCAATTCAGAAGTGGATCACTTGCTAAAGCTAAAGCAAGTCTCGCAGCATTTGAAGCAATCGGCAACCATATTGAAGGTCAATATTCCAAACACGTACAACACCACCAAGCCTCCTAAACAGTCAAATGGCTGCCGAGAACTTGGTTTGACCATGCGCCCTGCTTGGGTTCAACCGGGCTACCCAGTACTAGTCTGGACCTACTGGACGCCGGACCAAAGACGAATCGCCGTGCAGTTGGGCCACAATACCATCATGGCTCTTTGCAAAGTGCAAAAGGAGACCTGTCAAATGACTAGTACACGGCCTGTGCTTGGGTGTGTTCGTAGCACAATTGGCCTCGGCTTTGTTCACACCTGCGTAATGGGAATTTTCCTTGCTGCACCAACATACCTCGTTTCGCCAGTCGACTTTGCTGGAAACCCCAACATTCTATTCCAGACGCTGTCAAGGTACAAGATCAAAGACGCATATGCTACTAGCCAGATGCTTGACCACGCCATGGCACATGGAGCAGGCAAGACTTTAGCAATGCACGAGCTCAAAAACCTTATGATCGCGACTGATGGCCGTCCACGCGCCGATGTTTGTAAGTATAACTGTCCAAGACTTAGGGCATATGCTCACAATGATAGATTCCCGAGTACGAGTGCACTTTGCGCCGGCCAATCTCGACAGGACTGCGATCAATACAGTCTACTCGCACGTCTTAAACCCGATGGTGGCTTCTCGCTCCTACATGTGTATCGAACCGATTGAACTTCACCTCGACCTAAATGCACTAAGGAGGGGTCTGGTTATGCCTGTCGACCCCGACACGGAACCCTTGTCTCTGCTTGTGCAGGATTCTGGAATGGTCCCGGTTAGCACCCAAATTTCCATTGTCAATCCAGAGACGAATCAGCTTTGTCTTGTCGGCGAATATGGAGAGATCTGGGTCCAGTCCGAAGCGAATGCGTACAGCTTTTACGGATCGAAAGAGCGCCTTGACGCCGAGAGGTTCAACGGCAGGACCGTTGATGGCGATCCAAACGTGCGCTATGTACGCACAGGCGACCTGGGATTTCTGCACAATGTGACAAGGCCTATTGGGCCAAACGGGGCGCCGGTTGATATGCAGGTGCTCTTCGTTCTTGGAAGCGTTGGTGACACTTTTGAAGTCAATGGCCTTAATCACTTTTCAATGGACATTGAAAATTCTGTGGAGCGTTGCCATAGGAACATTGTTCCTGGGGGGTGGTACGTACTAGAAATCCTGATTTCTGTGTCCAGTTTATTTGTGAACAGGTTTGCTAACCCTTTGTTTCCAGTGCTGTCTTCCAAGCAGGCGGCTTGGTGGTCGTGGTTGTGGAGATTTTCCGACGCAACTTTTTAGCATCCATGGTTCCTGTCATTGTGAACGCAATTCTGAATGAGCACCAACTGATTATCGACATTGTTGCGTTTGTTATCAAAGGCGATTTCCATCGATCGCGACTTGGTGAGAAACAGCGAGGGAAGATTCTCGCCGGCTGGGTAACGCGGAAAATGCGCACAATCGCTCAATATAGCATTCGTGATCCAAACGGTGCCGACAACCAAATCACTGAGGTTGTGGAACCCGGAATCGGACCTGGGCGAACAAACACTGGCACCTTCAGGAACAACGGACCAGGAAGTGTCAAAGAAGGCTTCAAGGGTGGTAGTACGCTTGGCATGACCACCCAAATGTCGAATTTGCAGCTACAGACTGGTAGTGTGCAAGAGTTACCAGGCCAGACACAAATAAATTATGCTCCGCCAGCAGGCGTAGCTGAGATGCCTGCTCATGCATACCATGAATCAATACCGGAGCTGGCTACCGATTCAATGCTGGAGCTTAGAGAGGGCGGAAGCGACGACACGCCAACCGAAGCGAGAAAGGACTTTCCTCCCCATTTGAACGAACACGGCACATGGAACTACTCACCCGCAACTATTCGTGGGGTCTTTGACGATGAACCGGCGGGTAACAACTACCAACAATATGACGCTTCAGGGTTCCAAGCCGCGCCCCTTCCTGCGGTTTTGCAGCCCGGAGTCGCAATTTCAGACATGGATGCAGGCCCGCCGGAGCCTCACTACAGCAATAAGCCTTTTCTGAACGATGGGTTGGCAGTCGCACCAGATCCAAATCACTACAATGAGGATGATAGCAGACCACAACCGGGTGATCGCTGGTCCCTTCCATCTCAACAGCAGCAGCCAAGGGGTGGACTCCGGGTCGCCAACGAGACTAGCACGACGGGAAGCGGCGGAGACGACTGGGCACAGGAGGCTATCATGCACATGAATTTTGCTGGCGGAGAACCGGGCTCTTTGGGGAGACTAAGTTGAATTGGTCGTTTCACATAACGATGGGGTTATTTGTGGTGGATCGCGCGGGGCGTGGGGACACTTATCACTTATCACTTATCTGGAGAAATGGTTGGGCGATTGGCTGTGATACCGCACGAGTTGTAGTTGTATAGGCACTTCTGGCGTGCAAATAGGGGCATTTTGGATTAGGTCTTCTGCGACGATGACGAAATGGCATGGATGACGCTTCTAGTGTGCTTTGAGTAGATGTACCTCGATATCTGATGGGGCGGTATCGGGTGGAGCGAGCCTGATTGTTGCATGACTTCCAGCTCTTTATCAGTCTTGCGAAAGGGCTGCGATAGGTGGTGTTTTTGGGCCGTGTCTGGTGTTGTGGAGATTTCCAGGGATCAGTGGCTGACCTTGGCTCCTTCTGGCCTCACCAACGGTGAATTATGTCTTGTTCAGGGGGCCAGTGCGGCGAGAACGGGGGGTTGCGATCGGCACGGGGATCAGGGGCGGGTCGCTTACAGAGCCGCATTCAGGAAGCTGGCGCCGTCGCCTGGACCTTTTCGTCATTTGCCAGCGTTTCAGAGGGGAAGGGTGGGATGAGGTGGGAAGAGACGTTGTGAAGTAGATTAATAGCATAGGTGGACTCGATGTCCGTCCGGCTCACTCCAAGACGAAGCGGATTATGCGATGAATTAGACATCCAGCGAGAGGTCGGTAGTGTCGCACGAGAGCCTTTGTGGCGGCGGAGATTGAGGTCGTGAAACGGCAGTCATCGAGAACGACAGGCGAGGAAGTTTCGAAGCCGGTTCCACCGTCCACAGCCTCTCCATCTCGCGAGAAACATCTGGCTGGAATGAGCTGAGGCCGTTTCATGCCACTGCCAGGCACCGCAATGCGACTGGTTGCCAGCCGCTTGGCGTCGGTTTCACGGTTTCGTTTGCTCGAACGATGCCAGCCAATGGCTTGGCCGACCCACTGACCCTCTCCTCCATCACCACCTCTTATTCACCCTTCCCTCACCTCTTCTCTGACTTCACCCGTCCAAGGGCCCGTCCTTCGTTTCTGACTTTTCACCAACTATTGTTCATTCGTTTGACAACCCCCTTACCAGTCATTCTTTTATCTGCTGGTACTCACCCCACTGCCAGCCATTCACACACTGTCGCTTTTGAATAAGTGCAGCTATTCTCCCCTGCCGGGACCTGCATTCACTTTAGCTGTAGAATAGTCGCGAAATCGGGCCTGGACAGCCTTCACCTTCACTTCTCCTACCATTTCACATACTGCCTCCGACACCGTGCACTCGACGTGCCGTTTGGATACACTTTTCGCTGCCCACCCCCTACTTGGCAACAACGGATTTTTACTTCTTCCACACCAAGACATTGTCATGCATCTTAGGTGACAAGGCCATTGTTTGGGTACACGGCGGCCTTTATACTCCGTTCACGCGCGAGCGATCTCGACTTTCATTCCTCAACTTGCATTGTTCAACCAAACCGTAGGGTAACAGGGAACATTCTCAATCCTCTCGCAATTATCCCGCCCCATTCTCCAAATTTTGCCAATATTTATTACGCTTGCACTCGGGAGTGCACACGGACCTTCATTTCATCTGAAATCGTCACTGTCGCTGTGGGCACACGTCAGACACCGACTTGAATACGGAGCTATCTGTATAACGCAAACATATCAACGACCGACCAACAAACTCACACCACACATGTCCCCTTCCCTCCTCCCCCGGTGGGTGGAGCAAGCGACTACCTTATCTGCAAGCCCCCTGGCGCAACGAGGGCTCGTGGAGGATGATCCCCTCAGGTTCTCCCATGGCTTAACTGGCGTCGACCAGATAGGAAACTACCTCTGGGTGAAGGTTATAGGGCTATGCTTCGCCGCAATATGCGCCGGTACCCTACTCTTTAGCATCTCCAACAGGGTTTATCGGCATATTCGACATTTAACCGCTTTGGGGAATCCGCAGAATCAAGGCTATTTCGCTGTGAACAGGACGTCGTTTTGGCCGTGGATTGAGAGGCACATCTTCGCGGCTCCGCTGTTCAACAGGCGGCACAACCGATCGTTCCAGCTTTCGACCGCTATTGATAATGGAACCCTGCCCGGTCGCTGGCACACCATTATCCTGACCGTCTACGTCATGAGCAATGTTGCATATTGCTTGGCACTTCCTTGGGGTAGGCCTGAATCCGCGTCCGTGGTAGCAGCGCTTCGTGGCCGATCTGGGACATTATCAGCCCTCAACCTTATCCCTACTGTCCTCTTCGCTCTCCGCAACAACCCTCTTATCCCCTTGTTGCAAGTCAGCTACGACGACTTCAACCTAATGCACCGCTGGGCAGCTCGAATCACCATCGTGGAGGCCCTCATCCACACACTTGCCTGGTTCTTTAACGCCAAATCAGGGGGAGGACTACATGCGGTTGCAGCGGAGCTTCGCACCCAACCATCGTATTCCTGGGGCATGGTAGGAACCGTCGCCTTCCTCTTCCTGTTCCTCCAGTCTATGGCACCCATCCGCCACGCCTTCTACGAGACCTTTCTCAACGTTCACAAAGTCGTCGTCATGTTCGCACTGATCGGCACCTTCCTCCATCTCCAGAAACACCATCTCCCCCAGCTGCCCTGGATGCAGATCATCTTCGCATTGTGGGGTCTTGAGTACTTTTGCCGCGTCGGCCGCATCATCTACTTCAACTTCAAGCCTGGTAAAGTCACTAAGATGACCATCGAAGCCATGCCTGGTGAAGCCGTGCGCATCACCTGCAACATGCAGCAATCCTGGACTCCACAGCCAGGCTGCCATGTACATATGTATCTCCCGGGGTTATCTTGGTGGTCCTCACATCCATTTTCAGTAGCCTGGAGTCGGAACCAAAACCTCCCGCCCACTACCCCGAAAGAAAAGCAACTCTCGCTACCCATGTCTTCGAAAGATTTAGTATCTCCACCACAGGCCCCGGCAAAGAGCAAACAAATCAGCCTCATCTGCCGTGCGCGCACAGGCATGACACGCAAAATGTACGAACGCGCCTGCAAATCCAAAAACGAGACCTACACCACCTGGGGCATGTTAGAGGGTCCTTATGGTGGCCAAAATAGTCTTGATTCCTACGGCACCGTCGTCCTCTTCGCAGGCGGCGTTGGTATCACCCACCAAGTTATGTACGTCAAGCATCTCATCCGCGGGTTCCACGAGCGTACCACGGCAACCCAGAAGATCCTGCTCGTCTGGACGGTGCCGGATTCAGAGTGCCTCGAGTGGGTACGGCCGTGGATGGACGAGATTCTAAGGATGCCGGGGAGGAAGAAGGTGTTGCGCGTCATGCTGTTTATTACGAGACCAAAGCGAGCGCTGCAGAATACGAGTGATACAGTGAAGATGATCCCTGGGAGGTGCAATGCGGAAACAATTTTAGGGACGGAGATGGAGAGTAGGGTGGGTGCAATGGCGGTTACGGTTTGTGCAAGTGGAGCGTTTTCAGATGATGTGCGAGCGGCAACTAGGAGGAGGATGGAGACGGGGGTTGTAGATTTTATCGAGGAGGCGTTTACTTATTGAGGGGGTTTTCTGACTTCAACTACACATGGTGGTGTGGGAGGAGGGGAGCACAGCTTTTTTCTGGGTAAGCCTGCCACGTCTACGTTCACTTATGCCTTTGTTGCATACCCACCCACAAGTACAATCCCCAACAAGCATTGCATTGCGTTGCATTGCGCAGCATCGCATAGCATTTCACTTGCCGCCATCCCCTTCAGGTCACCTCGGGTCCTCGAGACCCCGTGGGGCTTTGGTGTTGCACACGCCTTTGCAAATGCGATGCTTGCGAATTGCATGTCATGTTGTAAATTTTTTTTCACATGGTTGCATTGTCATCTTCTCCTTTTCTTCTTTTGATCCTGATTCTTCCTTCCAAGGATGATGATGATGATGAGGATGATTCTTTTTCTTCTTCTTCGAATGTATTATACTTCCTCTCATTGACTCTATTTGGAATCCGACCCGGCATGGTATTGGCGTTTTCGGCGATTGACCCAACCTGACATTGTATTTTTGCATGGCAAACGAGCAAACAAGCAGAGTGTGATAGGGTGTACATGGCGTACCACCTACGAGACAGACGGCGGCGCATCGCGATGAAAAGGTGACGGAGAGTCTGTCGAAGAAAAACAGTCCCAGACATTCAAACGAACGAACAAGGGAAACCCTTTGTAGAATGAATTCTTGCTCTTGGTCCAGCGCCTCTTGTGATGCGGTATCGACCGTGTGCTCGTCTTCCCACCCGCTTGCGTGCTCTCAGCTCTTGCCTTGGTTTTCGCTCATTTAAACAGCTCGGTATCACTTTGAACTTGTCTCCTCGATTCAAAGTCGATGTGCTAGATACGGAGGAAAGAATACGGGAAGGGAGTCTATTAACATCGACGTCGTCAAAGAATCATAATACAGTATTAAGAGACCAGATTTGAGATTTGAATTGAGGTTTAAATGATTTACATCGCCCCAGAAGTGGAAATGAGAGAGGGAAAGCGAGGGAGGAAGATCGCAACGCCTGATCGCTTTACGACATCATTTGATCCCAAAGCATTCATTATTCCTCTACTTAACACAATAATGTCCCAGCAAGTAGAAGCCAGTCACCCACTCGACATAGCATTATTCCAACAGACCTGCACCCAGCTAGAGCTCTAACTAGAAAGGGCAAGAAACGGCAGCAAGTTTGCGGCTATATATTATAATTAACATGTTCACCAGTCATCCGACCACTAAAAAACGACGAAAATGGTACCTCAAAAATCTCAACAGATACTTGAAATAACACTTCGAGATTTTCAATACGGCCTTTTTTTCTTTTTTCTTTTTTGGCGGCTTTGGAGTGCTCTGAGAATAAATAGAATAAAATAATATAATAATTCCTTAGATATTGGGTTTTAGCTGTGTTTTTAGCCCCATTTTGGCACCTACCAGGATATATTTTAACAACAGCGTAAATATAACCTCTGAGACTCTAACATGAGTCTTAGGAGAGGTATGAAATGCTCATATTAAAGTCTTAGACTTTTCTGCTTAACTGTTGTTGAGATGTTAAGTTGCGAATTTCATACATCCGCAATTTCGGTGGTTTTTGGCCTGGCTGGATGACTGGTGGAGCACGTTAACATGTCTGCTCATCTAAGCAATGTAAGTCAGATATCTAGGGTTGGCATACAGCTCAGGTTTAAGTCCTGATTCTTCAGAACAAACTAGATATATGATTCAAGCTCTTCATCGTTAGAGTAATAGTAATAATACAGCACAACCTCCCTGATGAAGAAGCCGAGAAAGACTTGAAAAGGCCCTTCGCCTCACAATAACGAGCTAGAAGCCCCTTCTCCCTCCACATCCACCTTCTCTTTCCCCTTCCCCTTTCCCATCCCACTGTCCCCATCGTCCTTAGACACCTTCTCACCCTTCTCGCCCTCCCCGATCCTCTCCTCCTCATCGACCTTCCTCCTCTCCTCCTCCGCCTCAGCCTCCAGCCTCTGTCTCTCCCTCTCTGCCGCTTCTCGTTCTGCTGCCTCCCGTTCCGCCCTAACCCGCTCCTCCTGCGCCTGCACCATACGCTCCCCAATTCCAGGCCACAAACTCGCGATAAAGAGAGCAAAAGCACGTTCCGTACTCCCTACAACCCGTCTGATCCACGCAAATCGCTCTTCGTTGTGGCGTTCCACAAGCCTCTGAGCGACTGATTCGGGAGTATGAGTGTGTTCGCGATTCTGATTCCCACCCGCACCCGCACCCACGCCCTCATCTCCCGCGCCCCCTTGCGCACCCCGCCCCTGTGCATTCCCACCACCCCTTCCCCCCTGGCCCCTCTCATTCGCAAGCAACTGCAGTGGAAGCAACGCTTCAAAATGCCTCCTAACTCTGTCAAACTGATCTTCAAACACTCCTACCTGAGCTAGATAAACAAGCGCGCATACGATGCCTAACATAACTGGACGGTACCACCCACCGCCGCCAGCGAAGATATAGACGAAGCACGCGAGTTTGAAGAGCAGCCAGAGGTGGCCGGCGATTACGACTAAGCGGTCGTTTTCAGCTGGATTCTGGGGCTGGGCCTGGTTTTGAGCTTGGTTCTGAGGCTGGGCTTGGTGTTGAGCAGCGGGCTGGTTTTGGTCTGCAGCATTTCCCCCCTCATTTCCCACCGGTCTTGCGGCCGCAAGCTGATTCTGTAACTGCGCCGAATTTTGTGCGATTTGCTGGCCGATACCCGCAAGCAATTGCCGGTTTGCGGAGAATTGCTGGGTGAATGTTTGGAAGGGGAGGGTAGAGACCATGGGCGCAGTGGAGTAGGTACCACGGTGGTCGAAGAGAATGCCGACGGGGCCTTGAGGGCTGGAGAGGATGAAGAGCTCGGAACCGATGTCGGTGACCGATGGACCAGGAGAGGCCTGGGATTGGGGTTGGCTTTGTGGCTGGGTTTGAGGTGGTGCGGCTTGTGGGACTGTGTCTGGGGAAGAAGAAGGTTGAGCACTTGACGATGGAACGGCATTCGGGGTCTGGGCTGGCACGTCCGCATCGCGCAGGCGGTCCAACATTGTGTTCAAATCTTCAGCATGAGAGCGGAGCTCATTGCTTGACATTTGCAGAGAAAGAACGTCCCGATTACGGGCTAGAATGGGGTCCGCGATCAGTGTTGCGAGACCACGTTGAATGTGATCTAGGTTCTGCATGAGATTCTGCACATGTTGCCGAATTAGATTATGACGCCATGGAGGCGGCAGTCCTTGTGATCCAGCGTGGCCGCCGGGGGCTTGAAGCAGGACCCTCACATTCTCCATCTCTTGTTGGGCTGTCTGTAGACCTATTCTGACCTGGGACAATTCGTTATCAATGGAATTGCCCAACGATCCTGGCGGTCGAACGGGGCTGGGAAAGCGTGAAGGATGCGGGAAAGGGCGAGGCAGGATGGGGTGCTGGTGCGGCTGGGCTGGTATGGTGAGATTAGTGTTGTTGATGGTCATGGTCCAGCGCTCGCCGTTGGGGCCGATAGTTTCGTGCCGTATTGTTCTGGTTGTATTGGGCGCGAAGTTAGGCGTTCCTGGGCCCATGGCTGGCGGCATGCCACCAGCGGCTGCCTGGGTGCCGTCTGCTGGGGCTGGGGTCCCGCCTGGCGAGTGTGACGGCTGGTTTTGGGCATCTTGAGCAGGATTTTGGTGTACATTACGACCCATAGCCTGCGCGACCTGTTGCTGAAACATGTCATTCATGTTGGGAGGCAGGGGAATGCCGTTGAAGGGAAACGGGCCCTGGGGGTGAGCGTGAGCATGGGCGTGATGATGGTGGTGGTGGAGGTGGTGGGGATGCGGCAGCTGAGGCTGTGAGTTTGGTCGAGGCTGGGGCTGGGCTCGGAATGGGTTGGTATGCGGATTCGCGGGCGGGGAAGCTGGGGTCTGTAACGGTCGGAAAGGGTTCGGCGGTGCGGTAGAGGATCGGGGAGCAGGCGATGTGGTGGTGGGAAGCTCGCGGAGGACTAGATGGAGGCTTTGGTCCTTGGAATTGCGAATCTGCTCCATGCCAAACACATCAATCATCGTGTCTGTCTCGTTAGCAACTACTCTGCCGCGGTAGATCAGCCGCATGCGCTCCACGGCGGGGTGAGTTGAGATTTCATTCCTGATGCGGAGCTTGAGCTCTGAGACAGTCGTTGAGGCTGGAAGATCGGGGACGTTGATGTCGCCATCGACTTCAGTTGACGGGGAGAGGATTTTGAGATTGATCAGAGACGGGTCGTCGGCCATGCTGGCAATTGCGGGACTGACAGACAAGAATGGGGAGGGAGGTCAGGGTTCGGTGGTGAGTGACGGTGTATGGATACGTTGCTTTTTGCGTGTCAGCGGTGACGGAACCACGCCAGCCAGCCAAACTGCGGTGAGATCGGGCCAGCTCCTCGGCAATGAATAGCAGGTGAGGGCGGCTGGTTCAGAGTCACAGCCGTCGTTGTATCTCGAGCGTGTCCTCGGACGGAGGTGGAAGAGGCCAGCTACCCATGAACATCGCCGCTAGCATTCCCCCGTGCGGCGGTCATGCATGCCAAGACTTCGGCCCTCCGACGTCATGAGCCCTGTCAAATTGGGGATTCTTCCGCTGCAGACGTCCTCCACCACGATTGAGACTGCTGGCATCTGGGTCTGCCCTCACAATCCAGGCAAACACGCATCAAGGTAATTTCCCAACGTACAGATGAAGTAGCCATGGCCGCCGTCTCCCCCCGCCAGCTCTACCGAGCTCCACTCCGCTCATCACACCCCCCTCCCTCAACTCTGCCCTCTTACACCCGCCTATCTCACTCGTCACGATGTTTTTCCGCCCCAAGGCCTATCCGCCACCACCACAACCACAACCACAATCACCATCACAGAAACGATTCCTTCCGGTCGCGCCTGAACTCCGCCCTCAAAAATACAAAAATTGAATGGAAACCCATTCCCGTAGCGCTCGGTATAGGCTTCTTAGGCGTGTGGCAGTTTTATCGCATTCAGCGGAGAGAGCAGCATACGCAGAACCGTGGCGGGGAGGATGGAGAAATTGGTCGTCCCAAGAAGAGGGAGAGGATACGGCCAAGCGGCCCCTGGTTTGTCGCTTCCTCCCAGCTGATGTCCTGAATGCTCAGGAACACCCGTTTTAGGCAAGTGCAGATCATGTCCACCCTACCACTAAAGGCCTTGTCTCGACTATGGGGCCGCTTCAACGAGCTCGAGATACCCTATTACCTCCGTGTTCCCGGATTCAAGCTTTATTCCTTCATTTTCGGCGTCAAGTTAGACCCCTTGATTCTTACACTTTAACCACATCTAACCTCTTCTAGCCTCTCTGAAGTATCGCAGCCAGACTTGCACGTATATCCTAATCTCGCATCTTTTTTCTACCGGTCCCTGAAACCTGGTGTCCGGCCGCTAGATCCCAATCCTAACGCAGTTCTCTCCCCAGCAGACGGGAAAGTTATCCAGTTTGGGATAATAGAGCACGGCGAAGTCGAGCAAGTCAAAGGCGTCACGTATAGTCTCGATGCTCTTCTAGGCTCCGTCCGGCCGTCAAAACAAAATGCCATCACGCCCGTTGAAGCCGGAACCAGCGGCTCTCGCACCAAGGTAGGCGACGAAGAAGTGATCCGGGCAGACGAAGAATTCGCCCAAGTAAACGGCATCTCCTACACCCTCCCCAACCTCTTCTCCGGCCCATGGCCTAATGCCGGAAACCCCTCCGAAATGCCCACCGACCAATCAACCCACCCAACCGCCTCCTCGGAGGCTGAGGTCCGCGCCGATCTCGCCCTCAGCGAAGCCTCTCGTCCCTGGTGGGCCCCCGCTTCCACCATAACCCCAACCTCCCTCTACTACTGCGTCATCTACCTCGCTCCTGGCGACTACCACCGCTTTCACTCTCCCGTCTCCTGGGTCGTCGAAAGCCGCCGTCACTTCGCCGGAGAACTCTACAGCGTGTCCCCGTACCTCCAGCGCACGCTCCCAGGCCTCTTCACCTTAAACGAACGCGTTGTGCTACTAGGTCGTTGGCGCTGGGGCTTCTTCTCCTACACTCCTGTTGGCGCCACAAATGTCGGCTCTATCAAAGTGAACTTCGATCGCGAGCTCAGTACGAATTCCTTAACTACAGATACAGCTGCTGATCGCGCGGCGGAAGAAGCTGCGGCGCGAGGAGAAGCGTATTCGGGGTTTGCAGAGGCGACGTATGAAGGTGCGAGTCAGTTACTTGGGGGTCATGCGCTGAAGCGGGGAGAAGAGATGGGCGGGTTTCAGCTGGGGAGTACGATCGTGCTTGTTTTTGAGGCTCCAAAGGGGCAGAGACCGAGTCTGGATGAGGGGTTTAATAGGGAGAGGAAGGGTGGGTTTAAGTGGAGGATTAGTCGGAGCCAGAAGGTTAAAGTAGGGGAGGCATTAGGGTATGTTGAGGAGGCGTAGTGGATGATGAGATGGTAGGGGGTTGAGGTTGTTGATACCACTGTACATCAATTGTAGCTCAGCGTGAACCAGGCAGACGGCAATTCCGGAAGGAGCGAGTAATACATGAACCAAATGTGATTCGCTTACTATACGTGAAAGTCATATCATCGCGTTAATCCTAACCTCTTTCAATCATCCATCTTCTTGTTGTCTATACACTATTAAATATCTTCCCCTATTATGAAATTAAGAGCTTAGACTATTGCAAAATAAATATCTGTTAATTGCTTATATCTCTCCAGAAATTTTAAAAAGCAACCTATAACATAGCTGTTAGCCCTGCTGTCCTGAACCACTACAGATCTTGTTTCTGCTGCTCTAGGATTATGTCTATCACATCAAAGCATACTATAAAGAAAGTCCCATTTAATTAGCTGTAGAGATTAGAGATTAGCGTTTATATTCTCTAGGCCCCTTTATTAGCTTCTTAAACTCTACGCCAGCGTCTTCTTTACAGGCCTCAACCTCTTAACATAACTTAAATTCTAGCTAGGTAGGTACGCTACATATGAGGGAATACAAAACTTACTAGGCGATCTGCTGTATACAAGCTGCTAGTTATAAGCGCTATTGTCTTGCATACTCGTAAAGTAGAGACTTAGCCGCTTAACAGTAAACACTCAAATTCCGTGGCAAAAAGTGGACTTGATTACTAGAAAACAGGGTTCTACTATAGTAAGAAGCTATTTCCTACTACCTATAGACAAATCACCTACACCTATAGTAGAGTACCTGCTACCGTAGTGGGAACGGGGCCCATAGTGACCTTAACGTTGCATCCATCACCCACCCGCACTTAGATGCAGACTTTGCATCGAGATTCCCTGACTGTGGGACAAGGAAAACTGATGCCTGAAATAATCTAACGACTTCACAGCCAGATGGGCAATGTCTGTCAGCCGTGGTGCCACATGCCGAGAACTGCCATCACATGTGGCTTAAACGGGACAAGTTAGGCGAGAAAAAGCCACCTGTGACTGGACTTTTCAGTCCAGAGCCTCGTGTCTCATTATTGGACGCAATGAGCAGTTTACTGCGCCATCTGGCGCTCAAGTCTGCCTTGAGGAGTTTAACTAGGTTCCGCTCCCAGTTCGATCATGCAACTTGGAAAAAACGACAATCGCTCGACCATCGAAACTTGCGGTTACATTCTCAACCTTCCCCCTCAAACTTCACCATCCTAGGTTCCAGAGAGAATGCCAATACGAGATCACTTCACGGGTTGGGTCAAGCCTCGTGCTGGATCCGATAGCCATCTACCACAAATTGCCTATCACCCCTCTTTTGACAATGGATCCCTATATAACCCCAATAATATGATTGCACCGAGCTACCCAGGCTATGTACCCCCTCAACCCTCTAATGCCAATTACTCGCAAGCGCCACACTGGCAAAAGAGCGAGCCTCCTCGTATTCTTGAATTTATTCCGCAAATGAGTCCAGCGGGGAGTCCTCAAGCGGAACTGCAACCACCGCAATTGCAGCCGCAACTCCCACGGCAAATACAATCGCAATTAATTGGAAATTCGGGCCCCTACGAGAGCATGGGGCTCAGCGAGATTAACCTAGCGCAGTCGAGGATTAGTGGGCCGGAGTATTCCGACAACAATGAGAGTAAGAGAATTAATTCTTCCAATGCTACACCAACAGAAACCTCAAGCGGCCAGAAGGAATTTAGTGTGGGTTTAACCAGCTCCAGCAACTTGATATACCAAGATGGAAGGGAAAGAATCGAATCCATTCCGAGGGGTGACGGAGACTATCCTAATGCAATGAATGAAAAGAAAGCTTCTGATGCAGAGAGCGAAGAAAATGAGCCCTCTAGAGCAGAGAAGGAAGAGAAGATGCCCCCTGAGGCGGAGAGAGAAGAGGAGAAGCCTTCCGGAGCAGAATGTAAAGAGCAGAGGCCTTCTGAAGCGGGGGTTGTGGAGAAGCCAATAACTGCTCAGCCACAGCGCCAGCGGTGGAATCAGAAATTGAAACCTCTCCCGCCCACATCTCGGGTAGTGGAGCCGTTTGGCGGACTTATGAGTCCAGGAGTCCCTCCACTCTTGCCCAAAGGCCTCGATATTCTGGAGGAGAATAGCACTATCCAAGACGACGTCCAAGACACCGCAGGCAAACCGACCTGTTCCCTCAACCTCATCTGTTACAGCAAAGGCTGTTCTATGGGCCAAATCATAGTTACTACAAGGGAAAGATTTGCAAATGATGAACAATACCAGCGAGCACTGTCAAAAACACCAACATTGGTGTCTACGGACGGAGAGTTCTTCCAGGCGCTACGTAACCGTTATTCAAGAGACATGTGCGGATTCTGGCAGCGGTACTTCTCTCTAAAAACCCTAAGGAGTATACGACTACTTTCAGTAAGCTTTCCTCACTTTCCCTTTCAGCACATACTCATACCCTTGTAGTACACGGAGGCTACGCGTCCAACGCCTGTCCCCCTTGACGACTTCACTATGCAAGAAGTCCTCTATGCATACAACCACCCCTCAAACTTCGGACCCGAAACCGACTGGGTCGAATGGGTATTCCGCCTTCGGCAGCCCGACAAACGCCACGCTCTTGAATTCGTAGAAGGCTGGAATGGCATGCGTATTGGTATTGCGGGCACCATACCATGTATTGCATCCAGCCTCGTGGGCATTATCTGGAGCGCAAGAGGGGGAGACGTGCAGACCGCGTTTACTGTGGCGGGGTTTATACTAACGATTGCCACTGGTAGGTACATCTGATTTGTTTCGGAAAAAAGGTTCGAGAGTTAGACTGACGGTTGTAGTTTTGCTTGCGCTGCTGGCTGTTATTAGTGGCATCGATTCCACGTCCCACCAAACACGGATATAGACCTAGGACTAGTGCATGGGCCCTCATTTGACGGGCTTGGTTCAGAAGACTCAGGATGCTCCTCAAAATACGCGCCCCACGTCGCGCCTGCATTCGCAAACAAGATATCCACGTGATCCGTATATTTCCCAACCTCTTTCACCAACCACTCAATCTCGCTTAACTTGCTGCTATCCGCAGGAACTGAGTACGCGCGCGCATCAGGGTCCTTGTTTAGTAGTGCATTGAGTGCCGCCACGGCTTCATCGCAGGCGCTGAAAACTTTCGAACATCCTGCTTGGAGAAGCCTGATGGGGGTAAGATTGATAATGGATAGGAAAGGGGAATGGGCTGGGGTTCTGGGTTTACGTACCCGGATGCGGAATGCAGGCCCAAACCCCGTGAACCTCCTGTTACGACAGCAGCCTTGACAGTGAGAGAAAAGATGTTTTTAAAGTCATGGAATTCGACGTCAGCTTCGGCCATTGTGCTGCAAATTTGGGTGTGGGGTGATAAGGTACATACATATAGGTAGTCTAGATTCTAATTAAGGAGGTAAATGTATAAAAAGAGAAGTAAGGCCGTATGTCTCGGAGACTTGACATTGAGAATAGAGAAACTTAGGCTGGAGCTGAGGCATTCCAAACAGCATTTTATATTAGATGGGGGTCGAATTGCTTTGAACTCGAAAATCAACATTTAAGTAAGTGCCTACAAGAAGATCTTACGATAATAAAACAACTGGCTTCACGGATCGGTTGGTCGTTTAATGTAGAATCTTCAGAGAAAGACTCAGGAGCTAACCGAAAGCGGGAGGCCAGGAAGTGAGAAAGCGCCACCAATGCCTGCGATACAGTCTATGTATTCATTAGTTCCATTCATTCAAATAGCAGACTGACCAATCCTATCGTAAAGAGTCATCAACATGCACTAGTAAGTCAACACCTCCGAGATCGGCGATACTGCTTGCGCAACGCTTATCAGCGGCTTGTTACCATATCATTTCAAACCTCAAGTTATAAAAACATCTCCACAAAGTATTTTACAAAGCACCAGCATCACACTCAATTATAAAACATCGATATTCACGAATGCCAATGGCACCAAACACTTCTGACAACCTCCCCCCAACCGCAGCATATTTCCCAACATCCCCTGCCTCCCCCCTCCACCCCCCAACAGCCCTCTACAATCGCCTATCCTCCCTCCCCCAATCCTCCCTTGTTAAAACTCTATCCCTAACTATCCCCCCGCGCTCCGGCCGCGCCTTCCAAGTCCTCGCCGGGTCCATATTCCGGCTCTCAACGCCGGATGGCCCTCAAGTCGGCGACTTAAATATCTGGAATGCCCATGATCCGCGCGAGAGATTCTGGGCCGCTAGGACGAGGCAATTACAGGGGAGTCATGTGAAGGAGGGAGATCGTCTTTGGAGCTGTTTGCCGTTTATGCGACCGTTGTGTGGGGTTATTCGGGATGGGTGTGGGCTTGGGGAGAGGGAGGAAGGGAGGACGGAGAGAGGGGGACGGAGTAGGTGGGGAGGTAGGGTGCATGATTTGTTGGGTACGAGGTGTGATCCTTATGGTAAGTCTGGGCCTAGATTTGTCTTTTTGATGATTTTCCAAGGCGTTTCGAAGAGTACCCTTCATATCCAATTCCGTCTAAAGTCTAAACCCTTAAACCCAACCAGACACCTCTTCTTCCTCCCATTCCCAGCCTCCATTAACCTGCTCTAGTATCCCACATGTTAACCTCTACTTCGTATGACTACCACTGCCACTCCAACCTTGTACGCGCCATCCTCCCCTTCGCCCTTACCGAATACGACATCCATGACGTCCTGAACGTTTTCCAAGTCACGGGTCTCGATTCCGAAGGACGGTATTTCATGGAACCATCTCCTGCAACTCCAGACTCCTTCGTCGACTTTTTCGCTGAGCAGGACTTACTGTGTGCGCTGAGTACGTGTCCAGGCGGGGATTTGAGTGCGTGGGGATGGCATCAGGCCAGGGAGGCGGAGATGGGTGTGGCTAGGGAGAGGGAGGGGAATGGGAATGGGGGAGGGGGGATGAAGAGTACGTGTCGGGGTATTAATGTTGAGGTTTGGGAGATTGAGGAGGGGGTGAGGGAGGAGGTGTTGAGGGACTGGAGGAGACCGGAGAGGAGTGGGTATATGGGTAATCATGGGATGACGATTCCGAGTGGAGAAGCATGAAACATCGATATTTGCATTGCGTTTCTGGAAGGCTTGAAGTTGAGGCTAAATGCTCATTCGGAGGTTTAATATGTTTTGATCCACGGGGCTTTGTGCTGAAGTATAATCGCAACTGAGGTAGAACGCCAAGGGGAAAATTTAATTAGTTAACCTTCTTGCTGGAGTTAGAGAGAACGTCAACAGAATGTAGATGTCTGCCTTATATTCCCCCCCTTTGATGTTCCTCGTTAGGTGATGGGCTACGATCGATTGCTTTCCCTCAGTGATTCTACAGCTCTTGCCATTCCTTCATCAACTCTTCTAACGCAGTTAGAATTTCCCTTTTTCTTCCATCTCCGCACCAGCTCCCTTCGATTCCGGCTCGGGATATGCTCCCCCATTCTTGGACGTCCAAGTCGAATGATTCTTGTACGCTACAATAATTATCTAGAATATATCTTCCAAAGTATGCGGGATCGTCGCTATTAATGCTAAATCTGACTCCAGCATCCAAGAACTTCCGTATTGGTAGATCCTGAATAGAAGGTACGGATCCAAGGACGACATTGCTAATCGGACATGTCGTAAGCAAAGTGCCTTGAGCCGCTACCTTTGCCATCAGGTCAGCATCGTCCGCAAGTCGAATTCCATGATCTATGCGCTCGATGCCTAGGGTATCCAGCGCACTAGCTATGAAGTCCACTGGCCCTTCTCCGCCTGCGTGGGCAGTGCGGCGTAGACCTTGTTTCCTGGCCTTCTCATATATCTCCGAGAAGAGATGCGGCGGGAAGCCGACTTCACTAGAATCCAGGCCAATGCCTTTGACAGCGCCGCTCCGGTAACTCTGCTGAACATGCTCGTTTTCAAAAGTCGCTAAACAGTCTTCAACAGGCAGGTGTCTAAGAAAGCATGTGATGAGTTCCGTTGTGATGCCGAGTTCTCGCTCGGCCCGACGACACGCAGATTCGAAGCCGGATAGGACGGTGTTGTAAGAGACACCGCGCGTCGTGTGCGCCTGCGGGTCGAAGAAAACTTCAGCGTGATGCACGCCGTCGGCTGAGGCGTGCTGGAAGTAATCCCATGCTAAAGCTTCGAAGTCGTGGGCGTGAATTAGCACGGACATGCCGAAGTAATAATAGTGGAGAAAGTCATCAAGAGAGGTGAATCTAGACCGTGTGAGCATCTGTATGGGGTTGCTAGGTGGGTGCGGGATATAGACCTTCCATATCGAGATTGCAAAGAGTCTGGGGAATTGAAAGCTGAGTCTTCGGTTGGGAGGGAAATATTGTTTCTTTTAGCGAGTTCAAAGAGGAGGGTGGGACTAAGGGCGCCTTCTAGATGCAGGTGGTGTTCGGCTTTTGGAAGACGTTTTAAGAAATCGTGAAGTGGAGTCTTGCACATGGTGGTCTAGAACACTCCTTGAAGGACTGATACAAGGAAGGCAGCGGGTAAATTGCAGGAACGGATGAAGGTATTAGAGTTTACTTTCATACACTGCTCTTTCACACACCGCTACTGGTAGAAACAGCACGGAGAAATGCCAAAGGACCGAAAAGGGGATGTGCAAGCCTGCAAATGTGAGTAGTGTTAGCGACCCACTCCGAGGTCACAAGTCTTTCTTAGCGGAGAGTGCCGATGAAGTGAAGGATGCCGTGTGAAGTTGAAGTTGAGTTAAGGTTGGAGTCCGTTCCCACGCCGCCAGATTGGGACCTCGCACAAAGAAGCTTGGAGGATTGCTGGAATGAGGAATTGCGGCTTGTGGGACGTTGTCTTGACCTACCAGTGTACAAACGCTGGAGTTGGGTGACTTGCTTAGGCTCGTAGACGTGGTGAAGCCTCCAAACTCAAAGTTGCTGCGCGGAAATCGCCTGTTAGAGAAAGACAACCGTGCGGGTCGTGCAAGCTTTTTCACGGCTCGGAGCGAGTAGCGCCTTACCTGATTGGCTAATCCCCCAGAGCTAATGGAAGCATGGAAGAATTTTGGAATTTTCCTAATGGAGCGGAGGAAGAGACGTGGATCCCCTCACCATTGTCGCCTCCACTATGGGTGTCGGATAGAGCGTTGGAGTCGCCACTGCGGGCTGCCGGTCGAACTTCGGCGTCTTGCTGACAATAAACCCGTTTGGTCCAAATACTGCTGAATGGAGCGTCCGCCAACCAAGCTTCCCGAGGGAGGCTGTGCAAAGTGATTTGAAGCCGAATTGACTTTTATGTCACAACTATTGATCGCCGCGCTCCTCAAACCATGAATGCTTGATCAGCACTCCGACCAAACCCTGACGTCCTATCGAGAGAGGGGGCACAGGGGCAAGATCAGGTGTCAAACCTGCCGCAAACATTTCAAGGTCCGATTGCCGCATAGATCGGCGGAGCTCGCTCCTCGCAGATGGGAGGACATCGGAAAGGGGCTTTGTCCAAGTTTCCAGGGTCGGGCGGTGAGTTCTACTCCCGAACAATGACGGTCTGCCGGGCGGAAGTAGCCGAACCGCCTGGGAAGCGGGCGGGCGACCCAAAGCTGGCACAGACATAGCATGCAGATCCATGTTTCATCAGCGATCAGCCCTAATTATGTCCACTGCCGTCGGCGATGGACAAGTCATCAACTGCATGAGTGACCGCGGCAAAAAATATTGTATTAGTATTGAAGGGAACGAGTGGAGCGGGGATGGTCCGGAGCTGTCGGAAGGTAGTTGCCAGAGTTGTATCGACACTCGGTAAAATCTGTGCGGGCAGATCGATATCACATTTGCCCATGTCAGACGCCGGCACCCCGGGGACGCTCCGTGTAAAAAAGAGTCTTTGCATGCATGCAACAATCTCCTTGCCGCATGGCTGCGCAGCGAGGGACGACGATTCTGAGGTTGCCGAGACGCGCCGGCGAAATCCTGATTGAGTTTTAAGGACGCCAGATCTGCGACGCGAGCTGCCTAGCGATGGCGAGCATGGCGAGTATGGCGAGCATGGCGACAACATAGCGGTGCGGTCTAGATGGTTCGCTCGGCAGTTGGAGAGAGTCGTCCTGGGGTGTCAAGCGGCTGAAAGTCTGTGCCAAGTCCATGGACTCCGACCCCGGCCCGTTCGGGTGGCACGCTAGAAGACTGCGAGAAGTGGATGAGGTTCTTCTTGGCCTGAGGGCGCGTGGACGCAGCCACTTGCAGGCCCGTCAAGCTGAGACGTGGGGAAAAACGTGGCCGGTTTTTGAGTCGCTGGTGCCACCACTGTCATGGCCCGGCCAGGGTTGGCAAGGCCAGGCGTCGTTTCGCGCATGGCTGGCTGGCTGAGCGCTGGCTGCTCGGTGCTCGCGAAGTGTTTATCTTGGGCAACGGGAGTGGTGTTTCTTGTCTTGGAATTTGCCTCTAACCGCCCACTCCATGGGCTTGACCCTGCCTACGTGGAAGGCAGAGCTCTGCCGAGGCGTGCGCCATTCTCGAGGCTCATCAGATGTCGTCGGCATCCCGTTCCGTCACCTCCCAAGCGACCCCTCACTATCCCAATCTGCACGCAGTCACTGCTCTGCCACCCGAGCTGCCAAATCGGAACGCAGATAGACCTCGAGGCTTGTGCCCCTGGCTCCGTCGCCGAAACCTCACAGTCAACGTGCTGCCGCCGCAGGTAGTGTCACATTGGGCAGAGCAGCACTCACGCCGACGACGCTTATGCAGCCGCGGCATGCTGGGCCCACTGGAGCTGTCTTTGCTGCGAGTTCTGCCCTATGAACGCTTGCGGTTTCACGCCTCGGATGTCCGCCGTCGTCTCATCCAGCCCTATCCAATCCCAAGCGAGAGCGCCCCTATGGCATTTTGGGGACTCCTCCTCCCACCATCCCACCATCCCACCATTTTCGGCCCCCCGTGGCCTGCTCAACCCTCCAGGATGCACGCAGGGATAGACGAGGCGGGAGCCTCTCATCACTTGCACCTCGCCCCTGCATCCTGCTGTTCAGCAGATCCATCACTGCTGTTCAGCAGAAACATGCTTCGGGAATGGACTTGCCTGCTGCTCCGTTGTCTCGGGCCATGGCGTCGACGCTTTCTGACGGGACCTGCCCCTTTCTGGAATTTTGGATCGCCTTCAGCAACCAACAGGTCTTTGTCATGACTGAAAAACCTGGGCATCCGGATCTTCACCCGATACCAGCATGCTGAGTGTCATGCTTCATGCCGCTTCCGGGCCACTACCCTTTTGTCTTCGTGTTGCATGCACCACGAGGATCATTGGGCTTCCATGGAGACACCATAGCTCTGCCGTCACCTGTCACACCCTGCTAATCAGCCTGCTGCTGGCCGTTTGATGGCGGCAAATACTGACGAGTAAGTCCCCTTTGGGCTGTGGCGTCCCGAGCGCCACAACTTTCCGTGCCTATTAGTGAGTTTGTTGAGAGCCCTCAGTGTCGAGCCCTTACCGGTCAAGCACCTCTGAAAATTTCCGAAGCAATAGCTTGAAGAGACCCCTGACTCCTCGTCTTGTCCAATCTTTTCATACTGCGAAAACCTGTCTTTGCGACGTGGAGGAGGAGCGGTGTCCCAGTTAGTTTACATCAACCACTCATCCGATATTGAAGGTATTGTGGCAATTCGGAAAACCTTGCTTCACTCCACTGACGCATAAAATCTTCCAGACAGACTGGTTATTCCCACGTGCAATCGGAATCTGGGGGTGGATCGTTAAGCGTAACGTCACGTACATTGGAGCGTCAGATTCCTCGCCAAAGTCCTGTTTCGCTATCACGCCAGCGATCCAATTCTCTCTTTTGTACTAGGTCGGCGACCGCTGCCGGGCCTTGCTGCACCCATTCGCCCTTCTATCACTGCAGCTATCACCGGTGCAGCCCGCGGCACCTTTGCAGCTGCCTTCCGAGTACAGCTCTTCCAATTGCTCTGTTTTTGGTGGTGTCCCAATTGGCTTGCCTAGTGGTTCCTCCCGCCAGCCTGACCCCCTTGCGATTTCTCCCGGCGCCTGATTGATTGCTGATCTGGCTTGCTACGGCAGAGCCCAGCGCGGCTCCCTCATCATCTGAATCGTCAACCGCCGGACCCATCAATTCACAGGACCGGGATCTGTCGCATCTGCAGGTAGTCTCCTTCAGCTGGATGTGCGGTGCGACTTTAGTAAGCCTGGTTTCTTAGGCCAGGGCTAGTTCACCCGCACACCTTGAAACCCAGCCAAGCCAGCAACATGTCCTAGACTGCCCCCGTTCTATTGGTCTATTTCAAGCATCGGTCCCGGGAACTCTCCATATTGCTGGGCATACCCGAGCGACGTTCGGCTAGTGCCGAGACTGCCATTCCTTGACCCCACAACATCCCTATATCCCCCTAGATAAAATCGACCTTGGCTTGTCGTAATCTTAGCATGGACGACCCGATGTCGAATTCATACCAACGACATACGGACAACTTCTCTGTTGTCCGTAAGTCTACACCAGGGTCCTCTCACTCCTCTCCGCAAACCATGATTCCACCGCCTCAAAATCCCTTTGCAATAGCTCCTTCCGGACGCGCATCTGGGTTATCTGCTCCATTGCCTCAAATGGGATCACGATCACCTGGAGGATACAATCCTACTCTGTATGGCCACTCGTATGGGACGTCCTCGGCGTCGCCGAGCAATGCCTCTGGTAGCGTACCAGAAGGACATTCGAATGAGCCTCCCAGCCTTGCAGCCCCTGGGATTTCCCCAACGCAGATTTCTCCGTCAAACTTGAGCGCACAGAAACGAGCATACCGCCAGCGGAGGAAAGATCCTAGTTGCGATGCTTGCCGGGAGCGAAAGGTCAAGGTAAGTTGGCATGGCAGTTCCCCGCCCCCTAGTTTCCTTCGATATTGAGTATGGGATTCCTGAAGCACACGAGAGTTGAAGATTGCATTGGTATGGCTCTGCTGGACAAGACTCCATGGCTCGAAGAGGAACAAACTGATGTTGGTCTGTCAAAACCTACCCTACCGATCAGGACGTGGCGAGCTGCTCGATAACAATTGTAACCGTTTCAAGCGTCGAGACGCAACTCCTCTTTGTAGGATCATGGGTTTGAATGATCACTCGTGTTCAAGCATCAGGGGTCTTCCGGGACACAATTGGTTGGCGTGGAGTCTTCAAAGTCAAACACTATGAAGCTAACCTAAACGTATAGTGCGATGCTACGGAAACTACGGCTTGTTCTGAATGCTCTAGCCGAAACCACAAGTGCCAATTTACTAAAGAGACGAATCGGCGGATGTCTTCGATCAAGTAAGTCGGCGCAAGTAAAAACAGTTCAGGGACTGCTCACTAAGATTTCGCGAAGGCAGGTACAGGACCTCCAGAGCCAACTTGCCGAGCTTAGACAAGAGAATAGTCATCTCCGATCAAGAGTATCAGATCGTGACATCATGGAACTTGATCGAGGCACGGCGATTGTCAGGAGTGATGATGGCCGTGATTCACCTCAAAATAACTCACAAAGAGTTCGGCCGCCTACGCTGAACAACTTTGACTCTGTTCGAAGAAACGTTCGGATACATTCTCAAGGCATTTTTGAGATCCCTTTGCAGCAGCGACAGAGCAGTGCACCCACGAACACCGCGCCGACTGTCCCCGAGATCCCATCTCGAGCCGATTTTGCTCGTCTTTCGCGTTCGTACCTTGACTCTGTACATGAATCATACCCCGTTGTGCACTGGCCGACATTTCAGCGCGAGGTGGACCAAGTTTACACCGCACGGAGTTTCCACGCAGTGTCACGAGAGTGGATTGGCTTGCTCTTTGCAGTCATGGCATGCGGGACTCTCCAAACAGTACACAGCTTACCGGCATCCCCAGGAGGGGAGAAGGGAGGCGTGGTGTATTTTGAGACTTCAACCCACTACCTGACACCTTGGGCGCAGAGCTTAACGATTATACACACGCAAGCAGCTTTGCTCCTGAGCATTTTCGCTACTGAGAGCAACATGAGGCCGAATGGGTCCATGTGGTTGGCATCTGCTGTCAGGACTGCTCAAGAGCTAGGCCTCAATACGGAGTCGGAAGAATTACCTATTATAGAGGGCGAGGTGCGAAGGAGGGTGTGGTGGTCCATCTATGCCTGGGACAGGTATGAACCTTTCCCCCGCCCTCAATTCTATTCGCTTATCGTCTGCTTAGGGTTTCCTCTCTCATAAAAAGCTGTCCTATGCTTATAAACGAGGATGACTGTGACATATCATTCCCTTCGTCTGTCGAGGATCGTTATATCCAGGCTCAGGGGATTGCTCGTCCCCCGCCAAACCAGACAACCTTTACCGGGTTTGTGGCGGTCATTCAAGCCACGCGGATGTTTTCCGAAATCCACCAAGCACTAAAGTCTGGTGTCATCACGCCTCCAATTCTCCAAAGCTTCGATAAAAAGTTCCGTACAAAACTATCGGTATTTCCTGAATCCTATCAATTAGAGTCAGATGCATATCTTGAACCGTCTGCTCTGTCTCCAATACTAATCGTACAGTTTGCTCGATTCCAACTCTACCGACGAAATATTTCCCCAGTCTGTCGTCCAAACGAGAGGGCGGATGCCCTGCGACGTTGCAGCTCGGTAGCCCAAGACACAGCCAAGTATATCTCTCGCACCTTATCGAACAAGCCTGGATGGCCTGAGATCGATGATAAATGGCACTCCCGGGTGGCTCAGATTGCCTCGAATGCGATGTGCCTACACCTCTGGCGCTGCATACTAGTATCATGCCTCCGGTCCGAATATGAAACGGCGTTGACGTGTCTTCTTGTGTCTTCGGCAATTGGGGAGTCGCGCTCGATCAATATTGCGTGCGGGAAATATATCTCGTTCTTCCTGCACTGTCTCACAGGTCGGATACGAAGTGGGAGCGGTGGCCACCACCAACTGGAGCACGACGAAGAGATGCTCGCATATGTTAGCGGTGATATGCAAGGGCGCCTGGAACACTCTTGGGTATGGGCGGGTAGCGAATTTACCGATAGCTCTACGTCTGCGCACACCTCACCTCAAAGCACTATATCACCACAGAGCGCCGGCGAGCCGATGCAGGGTACTCACCTTCCGCTCCGACCAAACGCGGGATCTCCCGAGAACGGAACGAGAGAATGGGCCGGCTGGGGCACTATTGAGCGAACTCTCCATCAGCTCATAGAAGAGCATCGAGCTCGTCTTGCCCAGCCTTCTTCATACTATCCTCCTCCCCACAATCCAGTCAAGCGTGTTCAGTTAGCGCCGGATCCTCCCGCTTCTCCACCTATAACGTCACCAGTGCCTCGAACGCCATCAAGCACAAATCGGATTAGTATCGCAAACATCATCTAGGACATATTCATCTTCTCATCTGCAGCCGGTACCTGCGGTTTATGGGAGTTAATACGAGAATACCGACATGATGGGGAGAGCCCCTTGCTTACCCCTGTGGCAATAGGGCAGTGACAGGCCAGTACCAAAAAATCGCAAGAACGTCCCTGCGTTCCAGTATCCGATAGGCGAGATCACACAGGGGCATGGTGGTTTCCGCATCAAGGATGGAACCGTGGAGGTCCTTGTGTGTAATTGAGCGACTTTAACGATATATCACACTGCTCAGCATACTTGAATGAAGATGGAATGTCATTATTTCAGCATTGGGCGTCTAAGGAAGAGGGCCTGGCGAGGAATACCCTAGATGGCACTTTATGCATGTTCCTCTCAAGGTCTGCCCATCAACCCGGAGGCTTTGGCCTATATCACACAGAAGCGAGGCATAGTAATATTTAAAAATCGCAACAATCGAGTCCAGAATTTCATATTCTCATGGTAGAGCGCTTTGTTGGGTGTACTGACTAGCAGCATCTCCCTCCTGCATATTCTATCATAAAACTGAGCTTTTCAGACCACTTACACAAGGCTGGCTAGTAACTTCGTGGTGGCGCGAAACGGACGCAGGCTAGCTTCATTCACTTTGTCTTTCCATTTGCTGGGAGACTTTGGAGTTTCCGGTGTGCTGCAAGTTTGCCACGGGGAGGCATGGTATGATATCCCCCGTTCTTCTCACCGGGGAAGACGTGCCGTCAACAGGTCTCGAGACAATGGGAAGAGCAATCTGCCTTTCAGCAGCAAGGTCTCATTTTAGATGGCTTTTGGAAGCGTCTCGAATTGGGGCGCAATTCAGGCCGGAATGGTAGATGGAGAGCCCAAAGTGCTGTCTACGCCGGCTGAGGTTCGACGAAGGGTGAGAGTGATGGGTTAGTGGATTGTAGGGTGACTTTTACACAACACGGTGAATCTGGACTAGGCTGGGGAGGGGGGGCGGTGTGTTCTGAATATACGCCTCGCGAAGGTACCGGTGCAACATTACACCCCAAGCGTCGGTTTCGTATTCGGAGTCAGCATCCTGACTGGTTTTGATAGCACTCTGCGACAGCCAAAGAAATCGACGATGGAAGCAATATCGCCAGTGAAAATTTGAAAGAAGTGGGGGGGGGGAACCCGACCAGCGGCTTTGGAGCGAAAGCACGATGATAAAAGCCGAAATGAGGCTCTCGGGGCCTTACTCTGGCTGTTGCATGGTCACTCTCAGTGTTTGACGGGTGCTGGGAAGGACACTGTTTTGTTTGGGGATTGCGGGAATTTTTGGGTGGTGGCGTTACCTGACAGTTTGACCACTACCCCATTGGGAAGGCTTGGTATTGTCACGCAACCATAACGAGGAGGTCACCCCAACGGCATCTAATCAAGTCTCCGCGCGGCACTGCGGCTCAGCTGGCTCTGACGGAAGAGAGACCTTGGTGTCGCGCGAAGGGTCAAATGGCGGAAGAAGGGGGTATTTGGGATGGGCATCAACAGGGTCAGCCCATATCAAGACTGAGGGGGTCCCCCATGGTGCTCCCGCCGCAGCGCGAATTATGTCAGGACCTCATTCATCAGCACAGAAGAGCGGCGAAGGTGAAGCTAGCTAATCGGTATATAACCCGCGCAGGACGACGCAGCATGTCAAAGGCGGACAATTACTGCGAATCTTATCCACCCTTCATGCGTTGCTTCCAGCTACGCCATTCAACTTGTGTGCACGAGAGCCAATTGACGTTTGGGACGTATCCCAAGGAAAAGGGGCCACCAGCTCTGTGACAGCGTTTGAAGTCTTATTCTTCCACGGTTCTCAGCTCCAAGGTGCTCTTCGGTGCTCTCAAGCTGCCCTGTATCTGAGCTTCGCTAGCCCTCATCCCGCGCCTTCCCTCTCGCCTATCCCTGTCGAGGCATAGTGTGCCAAACACAGCCTAGCGGTTTCCTCAATCAGCAAGTGTATATCAGGCGGTGTGATCATTGTGACAAAACCATGGCGGCGCTAGTGGTTGAACAAGCTTCGTCTGAAAGCTTAGCTAGGCCCCACGCCGATGATCGAATCAAGTATCCAGGTGAGCAACCTTCAGGAACCTGTCCTCGCTGCGCGCTGCATCACTGCTGCAGTCTGCAGTCATCCATCTGTTGCCGCTCGCTGACGTTGCTAGACGCGCCCACGCTGCACCTGCCCTATCTCACCGAATCCGAGACCAGGTCGCAGCCTCGCTCGCGCGCCGTCTCCCGCTCTTCTACCCCGCTGTCCCGCCCGCGAGTTTCCCCTCCACCCTCCTACACCTCCGCCAACCCACCCACCAAACTCCAAGCCCTCGCCGAAGCCACAAACCTCGACGTCAATTTAATCGCCGAAGCCATCATGGTCCACCTCAACCGTGTCGCAACCGATGCCGAAGTCAAGGACGGCAACACGCTCGTCGACGGGCTAGAGAGCATCCGCTTTGAGCCTGCCGATGAGGAGGACCAATTCACCGCCACCGTCTATGGTTCGCGATACGCGGCCGAGGACCTGCCCAGATATGAGATGCCGGATCGGGAAATGCCAAAAGAAGTGTATGTCTGCCCTGCAGGTCTGTAATAACTCTAAGAGGGAGCTAACACTCTGGACGTAGGGCATATCGTATGATCAAGGATGACCTTACTCTGGATGGTGTAAGCTCTCAAAACGAACAGAAGGAGCCCAATTAATATGCTTAGACTCCCACCCTTAATCTTGCGAGCTTCGTCACTACCTATATGGTTCGCCACCCTCCTGCTAGAGCTCTCAGTACAGTTATGCTAACTCTGGTCCAGGAAGAGGAAGCTGAAAAGCTCATGGTGTATGAAACCCCTTGCCCCCTGCTCGCATTTCCCCGAATAACACGTTATTTCTAGCGAATGCTTCTCGAAGAATTTCATTGGTCTGTACACCATCTATACTTTGCGTAGGCTGAGACACTGATCGGGAATCAGATTATGAGGAGTACCCGGTATCTGCAGACATCCAGAACCGCTGTGTGTCTATGATTGCTAGGCTGTTTAACATCCCGGCACACGACGAGGGCACTAATGCTATGGGCACATCCACCATTGGAAGTTCCGAGGTAACTACAGCTCCCGTGAACCATAGCTAAGATACGCGCTAACCCAAATAGGCAATCATGGTGCATAACTCTTTCCAGCTCTGGATTCTATATCACTAACATACGATTATAGCTCGCGGTCCTTGCCATGAAAAAGCTCTGGCAGAATAAGCGCAAGGCTGAGGGCAAGCCATACCACCAGCCTAACATTATCATGAACTCAGCCGTCCAGGTGTGCTGGGAAAAGGCGGCCCGTTATTTCGATGTAGAAGAGCGATACGTCTATTGCACGGAGGATCGCTTTGTAATCGACCCCAAGGAGGCTATAGATCTGATCGATGAGAATACTATTGGTATCTGCGCTATTCTTGGTACCACCTACACGGGCGAGTACGAAGATGTCAAGGGGCTCAACGATTTGCTCGTCGAGAAGAACCTCGACGTTCCAATCCATGTCGATGCTGCCAGCGGTGGTTTCGTTGCTCCATTTGTCAATCCCGGCCTTCTGTGGGACTTCCGCCTTCCCAAAGTCGTCTCCATCAACGTCTCAGGCCACAAGTATGGACTTGTATATCCTGGTGTGGGATGGGTCGTCTGGAGAGACCCGAAGTACCTTCCCAAGGAACTTGTCTTCAACATCAACTACCTCGGTGCGGACCAAGCCTCATTCACCCTCAACTTCTCCCGCGGGGCTTCCCAGATCATTGGACAATACTACCAAATGATTCGTCTTGGCAAGCGTGGATATCGGAGCATCATGCTGAACCTGACACGGACTGCCGACTATCTTGCCGCAAACCTAGAGCAACTAGGCTTTATCATTCTTTCGGAGCGCAGTGGAAATGGTCTCCCTCTCGTCGCCGCCCGCATCGACGAAGACCTCGGCAAGCAATACGACGAATTCGCCATGTAAGCCACCGCCTTCTCCAACCCCGTACAACCCCAAATGCTAACAACCCACCCAGCGCCCACCAACTCCGCGAACGCGGTTGGGTAGTCCCCGCTTACACCATGGCCCCCCACTCCGAGAAAATGAAACTCATGCGCATCGTGGTGCGCGAAGACTTCACGCGATCCCGATGCGATGCACTGATCACGGACATCAAACTGGCGTTGCAGACGCTGGATGCTATGGACCGCAAGAAGATTGAGGAACAGAAGGAACATGCGGCGGGGATTAGCCGACGCGCCACGTGGACGGGTAGGCATAATCGATTGCCGACGAATATGTTTGCAGGCGAGACGCATAGTTTGCAGGGGAAGCATGGGAAGACCCATGGGGTGTGTTAGGAGGGGGGTTTTTAGAGGTTTAGGGATGTCAAAAAGGGGGGATAGGGTTGGATGGAATTGGATTGGATTGGACCTTCTCATCTCAGGTGTCGTCGACAATGGACGGACGAAGAAAACATACGTCAACATTAACCACAAACAGCATTCCCCTCAGTTCTCTCATTAAATATTACAGCACCTAAATAACTACGTAAAAGATAAGATCAGACATACAGAAAAGAAATAGAAGACCAGATCAAAGATATCTTTGTTTCGTTGAGTGGATTGACGTATGTGAAATGAAAAAAATCTGACTGTGCAATCTCTATTTGAAGGGTGCGATAGGGGATTAGGAAAGGCTTTGATTACTTGTATTAGCTGATAACTTGGGCGTGTCTGTGTTGCTATCTACGCTCTGCCATATGCATGTATCAAAGCTCTGAGAATAGTGTTAAGATGTGTGCAGCCACTTAACATGCAAAGAATATCCATTGCGGCAAGGCTTGCCGAGGCTGCAGCTCAGGTGTTGATCGCTAGCGCACAACAACGTATGCACCTCATCCAACAGCAGCTCCACAATGCGCATGCACTCTACCATGTCTGCTTCTTCAGACTCGAGCGCTACCGATGTAGAGCAAGGTAACGAAAACCATCCGCCGCAGCTATCGGCGCTGTTCCTGATCGTATTCGATCAGAAAGTTGGGTATGCCACTTCTCAACTCTTGTCCCAACGGAGCTCTCCATCCTTCTTGTACTGACCCTCAATAGTTATACAGTCGCTTGGAAACGATGCTCCACTGATGGTATATTTCTCGGTGCTCGGGTTCTTTGCCGTTGACTCACGCAATCTGTAGTATCGCTTGATGGCGCCGTCGAGTTTAAGTCGCTGCCTTCCGGCTTACATGCCGTCAAATCCGACCTCGTGTGCGTCGCACCCCCGAAATCCATATTGTTGAAGCGGGCGAAGAAATTTGTTGACGATGGAGTAGATACTTCGTACACGAAGGCTATGCCGGCCTGAGCGCATTCTGCAACAAGCCCGCATCGGCAGCAGAGCGCAATGCGCATTTCGTCGCAGTTGGCATACTGGTACCGCTCAGCTATGGGCGCCTAGGACGGAGCTGGCTTCACGCAGGCAAGCTAGAGAAATTGGCGAGGTGAGACGTTCCGGGGGGGGGTTGTGGGGGGCGGGGTACAGCAGGAGCATGTTGGGAGTTATAGCTGACGAAGGTGTAGCGCCCTCGCCGACGACGCGACTGCCACCGCCCCGTTGGAGGAGTTCTGGGAAGAGCAATCGAAGCCCAGTGCTTCAGGTTTATCTCCTAAAATTCTGCAGATGAAGACGCATAGTAGAGCGAGAGCACTGTCGACGATCACGGCGGTGATACCTTCGGAACAGTCGCTTCCTGCATATCATCCGGCGCTTTCGATACTGCAGTATATTGATCTCTTTGGACCTCTGGTTTACCGATTACAACAGGCTGCGCTGTTGCGGAAACGTATATTGTTCGTTGGCGCGCCGCCAGTAAGAGCTACGTGCGAGTTTGGTATGTCTGGGCCCTGCCCTAAATTGGCCAGTCGGGAATCTTAGGCTCAGCTAACGTGTCATGATAGTGTACGATCTATCCGTCCTGTCAAGCCTTCCCAGTTCCCTCAGCGACCTCCTCCCCCCAGGTAGCGAAACCTTGCACCGTCTCCGATCACTCTTCTCCCTCGGAATCCACGATATACCCCTTCTAGAAAAGCTACGAACGCCCAGCCCTGAAGATGATCAGTCATCTGGGATTGAGCTGGACTCCCAGGGGCCCGGCTCCCACGGCTGGGTGGCATGTACGACGGACGAGATCATTGCAACCAAAAAGCAGCTGTATGATATTATTGTTGAGATACCCCCTACGTATGACGCGGCGCCGCAGAAGCGAAGATGGCCTACGATTCGGAATTCGGATGGAACGCTGATTAGAGCGAGCCAGAGGGATGTGTGGCGGTACAAACTTCTACACCACGAGCTATGGAAATATCGACGGGACTCACCGTCGAACGCAAACGGGGACGCCAGCACCAACGACAACATCAACCAGGACGAGGACGAACGGGCTGCATTATTGAGACACAGCGAATCACCAGATGAAGATGACTCCCTCAGTGAGACCTACGACGACAAAGTCGCAGAACCAATGACATGGTCCCAGCTCGCATACTCTGGCTTCATGTGGTGGGCATCCGCGGGTGAAAAAGACGCCTACATGATCGAAGAGCGCGACCGCGACCGGGAAGTCCTTGGCGATCTATCCGATTTCCAGACCGGCTTGCATACGGCTGTTATTGCATATTTTCACAGGCTAACATGTTCCTTGGTTAGGAGGCTTGCAGCACTGATTGAGGCGATGGATGATGAGGATGGCGGTGCAGATGGGGAGCAAGAGGTGTTGGTAGTAACGCGAGATGACTTAAGTCGCGTTGGGCTGGATAGCTGGAGTGAGGGGGATAAAGCGTTTGTGGAGGACTTTCTGTGGCTGTATTTTGGGAGGAGGGCTGAGGTGCAGGGGGCGAATTTGGAGTGCTGCGGGATGCAAGTTTGTTAAAAGGGGCGGGGGAGGAGAGAGGAGGGGAGGGGAGAGGAGGGGA